TTCGGGGTCGGCAGGATGAGTGTCGCTTTGCATTCCCCAGGTCTCTGCTCCCTTCTGCGTGGCGCCCATGCTCTCGCTGTAGGCATCAACCCCGCACGGAGGTGGACGCTGGATCCGTGTACGCTGCCGCCCTGGCTCTCGTCATGGACAAGGGGGCCTCAGCCAGCAGTGCTTCCTGCTGTGCACTGGAGGAGTGTGTGTCTCCCCAGAACCGAACCCCCAATGGGATGCTGGTGTCGGCAGGTGAGATCGGGCCGTGAGGGTGGAGCCCTCGCGAAGGGCATCAGTGTCCTGGGAAAGGAGACCCCACACAGCTCCGTCAGCCCTCCCGCCCGGAGGGGACACGGCGCGCAGACGCCACCCATGAACCAGGAACGGGGCCCTCACAGAACCTGCTCCCGCCTTGATCTTGGACTTGACGCATCCATGCGCTGCTGGACAGCGGGATGTGTGAGGACGGACGGGGAAGGGGTGGCGGATACAAACTGGCAGGTGCACAACAGCCAAGTTCCTCCTCAGGAAGATAGTAACAATGTTGCGGTAACTCGTTCGCTGCCAGGTGGGGCCGAGACTCCCGGGGGGGGCGGGGGGTCACTTTGTAACTTGTGTACATGTCTCACCACTGTGCTGTAGGCCTGAAACTCACATGATACTGAAGGTCAACCGTGATTGATACATAAAAAGAATGCCAGGAAAAACAAACCAAGTGCCCCGTGTCCTGCTGCTTCAGGCCGCTGCTGTGTGCGAAAAGGTGGGACAGGTCACCGCGGCTTAGGACACTGAGCTACACAGACATCGAACACCTGTTCTGCCGCATTGTGCGTTTCAGGATACCAATCCCCCCATCCCCCCGTCCATCCACGGAGTCATTAGTTAGTGAATCTGGGACATTCTGCAGTGTCCTCAACAACCATGATCCTTTCTTGTGGTCTGGCACCCTTTGAAAGTGGCTTCCTCCCCCCAGATGGCGGCCCGCCCCAGGCTGGGTCCTGGGACTGCAGGAATCAGCTCAGTAGGCCAGGCCGGCACGACGTGAGGCAGGGAAGCTAAGTGCCAGGCATCGATGCCCCTTTTAAGAAACTTTTCAAAAGTGTCGCCTAACCGTTTCTGCGGGCGTTAAGTTTATCGAACAGAACTTGTTTCTTTTTTATTTTTTCTTTTCTTCCCCCACCCCCAACTGCAAGGGCGTCTGAGGGAATAGTGTTTTAGCTGGCCTGGTGCCAACATCAATAAACTCAAAGTCCGTTTCTATGGAATAAGGGAGAAGGGAGATGGGGTGGGCAATGAGGAGTCTCAAATACGCTACAGATGGACGAACAGATGTACAGATAAACAGACAGCTGAGTGAGCGGACGGATGGATGCATGGATGGACGGATGGTTGGATGCATACACAGAGGAAGGGACGGATGGATGGAATACGATACGTATGTAAATGTAGATGTAGACACTTATATACATTAACACCGGGTGTACTTTACAGGGAATATACCTTGTGTGTGTACACACACTCACACACAGACACACACTCACTCACACACGCACCCCTGACTGGCTTGCAGAGGATTCAAATAGACCAAAATCAAGGGCATTAAGCAGTCAGAATGGAGGAGGTAGGCACGGCTCCCTCGGACACTGGGAGCCACCAAAGCTTACGCTGAAACAAACTTTGCACAATGACCGTGTGGGTCTGTGGGAAACGCTCAGAGCTCGGTCATGTCCTCGGGGTCAACCAGTGTCGTGCACGGGAAGCCAGAAGCCTGGGTGACAACGGGCTCCAGCCCCTCCCCGTGTGGCTCACGGCCTCACCAGACGCCTCCCGTGGAGCCTGCACACAACCCAGGAGGCTTTTTCAATGAATTTTTATTGTGGACGTTAAAGCTTCTCGTCACCAAAGGGCCTGGAAAATACTGTGGACGTTTTCATTCTGAGCCAGGAAGGCGGCGCTTTTACAGAGGTGAAAGGCGTCTCGATGAATTCGGAAGTGGAGGCTTCAAAAGGCCTCTCCGTCCGGACGTAAATAAAGGCCGCGAAGCACTCGGAGACTGACACCCTCCGTGATGAGACGCTTCGTGCACCCAGAATCGTCCGCACATCGAGGGAGGGGAGAGGCCGCCCTTGTCAGAGGCTGGAGGTCGGCCAGGTAGGGATGTCTCTCACAGGTGAGAGGCGTGACGGGCAGGACGCCGGCGTTACCATGAAGCGGGACCTTCAGTTCATCTATGCTTTGTTCTCAGGCGGGCCTACCTCAAGGTACAAAGGGGGCTGCCGCAGCTCCAGCACCCCCTTGCTCTACAGGAAGCGCCCCTGAAGAGTCACATCCCGCACCTCTGGTCCTGCCCAAGGTTGCTCCGCCTCCCCCCTCCGTTAGTCCCCAGAAGGTGGCCAGGAGCAGGGGAGAAAGTTAGATGACAGAGTGACGGCTGTGCGGGGGAGGGGCGCAGACAGACGAGAGAGGGTGCTCGGGGCGCGCTGGGGTCCTCTCTGGCCAAACACAGGCTGCGGGCCTTAGCCTTGCACGTCCCGCCACCTGTGGCCAGGTGTGTGTGACCCAGGGGTTCACCATCCGGCCTGAGGGGCGGCATCGGGGCAGCTGGAGGGAGGGACGGGGGAGGGGCCCTGACTCAGGCTGGCGGGCGGGGAGGGCTGTGCTCGCAGGAGCTGGGACCGGTCTGCAGGGCGGGACGGTGACTCAGGGATATTTCCCAGCCTGCGCCGCTGTTCCAGACCCTGCAGGCACAGGGAGAGAATGTAAAGCTAATACCTTAATTGAAAAGCCAGCCTGGGGCACGGAAGGACAGCCACCCCGCAGGGGGGCCCGTGACCGTCCCCAGAGACCCGACTAGGCCGCAGCAGCCTCGGATGGCAGAGGGGAGACACGTCCTGCCCCTCGGAGCCCCCACCCCGGCCAGGGCAGCTGCCGGCCCCTCCAAAGGCCTCCAGGCTGGGGTGGGAAGTAGCGGCGGCCTCGCTGCACCCCACACGCTCCGGGGTCTCTGGGTCCAGGCTGGGCCCTTGCGGGGGGCGGGGGGCGTGGGGAGGTAGCGGCCCCCACTTTCCCAAGCAGGTAGCCGATTTCGCTTTGCTGTTCTACCCGCTCTTGTTGGGAGGGGGTCCCGTTGGGTCGGTAGCGGGTGTGGAGCCGAGGGGCCCCACACTTTCCTGGGTGAGGGGCGGTTTTCACTCTGCTACCGAGGGAGACGCCACGCCGGGGAAGGGGGTTCCGGTGACGGAGGGGGCAGGGCGCCGTGGGGGGAGGCCCCCCTCACTTCTCTGAGCAGGGAGGGCATTTTATCTGCCTTGAGGTTCCCGCTGGGAGCGACGAGGGAACCGCCCCGCACTTTCTCGGGGTGTGGTGGGGTGATCTCTTCTCCTACGTCCGCGTGGCCCCCGGGCCCGTCCCGCCCCCGACCCGCGCG